GTGAAAAATTATACTGATACCAATTTGGCATTCATTGGCAGTCAGGCTTGCAGTGTATTTATATGTACTGGAAGTTACACATCTTAATAAACAGGGCCCTGTTCTTCGCAAACAAAAAGAACACAAAGTATGTGCAAGTCTGTGTATAACCAAACCCTTATTGTGATGACTATCTAAAATCTGGTTGTGTGTCTAATTTGGAGTCATGTATTTCAAATGTCCTGTACATATAAAAATGGAACTTTATAGCTCAGAATCTGAGAGGCATAAAGACAGCTAAAAGGAGTGAAGTTCAATTTACATATAGATTCATGATACAATAGCTTCGACGAAAGCATGATACAAGTATGTAACTGCTTCAGGTGTTCTGTATAATATGATGCAAACTGATGGTCTGAAGCATTTCCCAAACTGAGATTCATACTCAACAACCCTCACTTTCGTACTCTCCCACCCCCATCAAGTTTTTGCTTTTCGTTCACACTAAGTCTGAAGCATTAGAATGATGGGGAGAAGTTTGAGAGCACCGCCTTAGTCAAATATAGGGACTATATACCATTCTAATAAAACCAACATCCCCATTGCTATGATTGATAATGTTGCACATCCATGGCCAGCTACACTATTTTACGTGGCACTTGCTGATGACTACAAGTGGCAAGGAGATTAGTTTTAGCCAGAATATTCTGCGCACTCAACTTTGTATTGTATTCAAATTCACTGATTAATATAAGGAATAGAGCTATAAAACAAATTTACACGGTGCAGTAGAGAGTAGGAAATTGCAGAGCCACAGGTTAATTCAATGGGCAAAACCATGACAGGTGTTGCAGCGTGCGGGGAACCCCAAGGTTCTGATCTAAATAAAGATCATTCAATTTTCTAAAAGGTAAGGAGCTGAGGTAGAAAGATTTCTCAAATTACTCAAAAGTAGAGATCAGATTGAAAAATTAATTAAAAAGGTTTTTGCAATAGAATACAGATTAATTTTGTAATGTTACCCTGGTATGATGTTCTGTTAGACTGGATCTGGAGTATTACTTTTTTAGTCTGGGCTACTGTATTAAGTGCAACTGTTTCAACTTGGACTCCTGAGTTTTGGAAATTATAAGTGGTATTCGAGTTGAAGTGTTCAAAGATACAAGTGAAGCAAGGGAGGAAATAGCATGGCCACTTGCAAAAATTTTCAATTTCTCTCTGAGAGGTGCCAGAGGACTAAAGGACAGCCAATGCAGTACCATTTTTCAATGAGGGTGCAGGGGATAAACTAGGAAACCACAGACTAGTCAGTTTAACTTTGGTTAGAGACAAAAAAAGATGCAGATACTGGAATCCAAGATAGACAAACAGGAGGCTGAAAGAACACAGCAACCCAGGCAGCATCTGGAGGAAAGGCAAAGTCATTGTTTTGGGTATTAGCCTTCTTCAGGACCAGATATGGGGGTAGGGGGAGGTGCAGATAAAGAGAGGAGGAAGGGGTGGTAGAGCAGTGGTGGTGATAGGTGGACCCCGGTAGTAGGCATGACCTGGTTGGTAAATGGGAGGGATGAATCCGGTGGTGACTGGAAGGGAAGGTCGGAAGGTGAACTGGAAGGTAGGTTATGGGCTGAAAAGGGAGCCAGGGGATGGGTGGGAAGGTTATTTGAAATTGGAGAACACAATGTTGAGTCCTCTTGGTTAAGAGCTGTGGAGCAGGGAATGGAGTAGGTACAGTGGACGGATGCCTGAATGACAGAGGGGGGAGAAAAAGAGTGTTGTTTGAAAAAGGAGGACATCTGGGATGCTTGGGAGTAGAACGTCTCCTCGTCAGAGCAGACGTGACAGACATGAAGGAAAATGGGATGGAGTTTTTGCAGAATACAGGGTGGGAGGTGATGTAGTCTAGGCAGCTATGGGAGTCTGTGGGTTTATAGTAAATGTCGGTCCATACACTGTCGCCAGAAATGGAAACAGAGGGGTCAAGAAAGGGGAGGGAGCAGTCTGAGATAGACCAAGTGAAATTGAGGGTGGGGTGGAAGTTGATGATCTGCTCCAGTTCAGCCTGAGTGCAGGATGCAGCACCGATGCAGTCATCGATGTAATGGCGGAAGAGTTGGGGAACAGTACCCGGGTACATACTGAAAAGGGACTGTTCGACATAACCGACAAACAGACAGGCTTAGCTGGGGCCCATGCGAGTGCTCATAGCTACCCCTGGATTTGAAGAAAATGGGAAGAATTGAAGGAAAAGTTATTGAGGATGAGGGCCAGTTTGGCGAGATGGAGGAGGGTGTTGGTGGAGGTGGACTGGATGGAGAGGAAAAAAACTGGGTACCTGTGGGTGTCCTTATGTGGAATGGACATGTATAGAGATTGAACGTCCACAGTAAAGATGAAGTGCTGGGGCCCAGAGAACTGGAAGTTTCCAAAGAGATGGAAGGTGTGGTTTGTGTCCTAGTTGTAGCTGGGGAGTGCCTGGACCAAGGAGGAGAGAATGGAGTCAAGGTAGGAAGAGATGAGTTTGGTGGGGCAGGAGCATGTGGAGACGATGGGTTGGCTGGGCTTGTTGATTTTGGAGAGCAGGTAGAACTGACAGCATGGGGCTGGAGTCTATAAGGCTGGAGGCGGTGAAAGGGAGGTCAGCAGAAGTGATGAGTTCATGGACAGTGTGGGAGACCGTGGCTTGATGGGCCATGGTGGGTTCATGATCAAGGGGGAGGTAGGGCATGATTTAGGAGTATCAGAGGGACATTGTTGTTCATGTGCACTTAGAACATAGAACACAGAACTCTACAGCACAGTACAGCCCCTTCGGCCCACGATGCTGTGCCGAACTCTTACCCTAAACCTAAGGTCAATCTAACCTCCACCCCACCTTATACTATCATCCATATGCCTATCTAATAGCCGCTTAAATGCCCCTAAAGAGGCCGACTCCACTACCCTCTCTGCCAATGCATTCCACCTCCTTACCACTCTCTGAGTAAAGAACTCATCTCTGACGTCTCCCCTATCTACCTCCACTCACTTTAAAACTATACCCCCTCATAATATCTACCTTCACCCTAGGAAAAAGTCTCTGGCTGTCCACTCTATCCATATCTCTGATCACTTTGTACACCTCTATCAAGACATCTCTCATCCTTCGTCGTTATAAACAGAAAAGCCCTAGCTCTCTCAACCTTTCCTCGTAAGTACTTCTCTCCATTCCAGGCAACATCCTGGTAAATTTCCTCTGCAGCTTTTCCAACGCTTCCACATCTTTCCTGTAATGAGGCACTTGTCCCTTAAAGTATCAGGACAGGTGGATAAAGTGGTTGAGAAGGCATATGATATATTTTCTTTGATTATCAAATTCATAGAGGTTAAGAGCAGAGATTGCCATGCTGGAACTGTAAAAACTGTTGGTCAGGCCACAGCAAGAGAATTGTGTTTAGTTCTGGAACCCACATTACAGGAGAGATACGATTGTACTGGAGAGGCTGCAGCGATTTACCAGGATGTTGCTTGGGCTGGAGAATTTCAGTTATTAAGACAAATTGGACAGACTGGGGTTGTTTTCCCTAGAACAGATGAGATTGACAGCAGACATGATTGAGATGTATACAATATTGAGGGGCAGAGATAGGATAGACAGGAAAGAAATATTTTTCCCCTTGACGGAACAATCACTGACTGGGGGCACATATTTAAGATAAGGGGCAGATGCTAAGAGGAGATGTGAGGAAAAACATTTTCATCCAAAGGATAGAAGGAATCTGGAACTTACTGCCTATAAGGATAGTAGGGGCAGAAACCCTCATAACATTTAAGTAGTATTTAGATGTGCACTTGCGATGCTAAGGCATACAAAGCTATGGGCCAATTGCTGGAAAATGCATTTAGAATAGTCAGATGATTGTTTTTGACTGGCACAGACTTGACAGGCCAAACTATTCTAATCCCATTTTCCTGCACATGGCCCAAAGCCTTTTATGCCTTGGCATCCCAAGTGCACATCTAAATAATTCATAAGTGTTGAGTATTTCTGTCTCCAAGGTCTTACAGGCAGTGAGTTCCATATTCCCACCACTCGCTGGGAGAAAAAGACCTTCCTTACATCTCCTCTAAACCTCCCGCTCCTTAACTTAAATCTGTGCTCCCGAACATTGATCCCTCACCAAGGGGGAAGGTTTCTTCCTGTCCACCTTGCCTAAGCCACTCAATTTTATGTATCTCAAGGATTGGACAAGGATGATAAAATACGATATAGATAATAAAAGATGATGGAACAAAGGTGGATGGATTGGTGTTATGATATTGTTCAATGTTCATATAATTGAATAGCAGAACAAGCATGAGACACAAAACGGCCTGGTCCTGTTCTTACAATGATCAGTCGTGATTATCACACCATTCTTTTCCACAACCAAATTTAATTTCAAGTCCAACTTGAAATCAGCACCGTGTAAAAGCTTGCAGTGATTAGAGATTAACACTATCCATTGGTCTCCACATAACTGTTGGCACATGCAGTAATCTGCTCTTCCTACAATGATAGCATATGTCGTGGTTTAAGCAATGGGTCACAATAGAAAAATAGAAGTTTTCATAATTAATTGTTTGCAGCTCATAAACAATGTCTGACTTATTTCTAATCTTTCAATGTCAGCTTTTTAAATTTTAACTTCTGGTTCCAATCCACTGCTTTCTCCAACCACCTTGAGCAAGATTCTGGCATATTGCTATTGGGTAGATAGTTCATTTGCTTCCTCTCCATGTGTTACCTCCCCTCACCTTATGACTCTGTATAATCTGATGTGTTTCATCAAAGAAACAGACCTGTATTTTCACAGCAGAGTTAAATATGGAATCAACTTACCACTGGTAGCAGGTTTCTTTCCTTGAAGTTAACTAAACAAATTGAAGTTTACTTCTAAGTAGCACAGAAATTGAATATTGGTGAAAGAAAGATTCATTTCTCAAAGCTTTCCATCTTGTACTCATCAAGACAATGTGAGAAAGATACCAATGTCGCCTACCTTTCCTGTGGTACTGCAAACCAGTACTCATGCTTTCTGTCCCTCTGGGCATACTGCTGCATTGATGCACTTGCTACTGATACAAACGTCTTCCGCATGGGCTTCCCAACTCTCAAACATAAGAACCTGTGTGATCGATTCCACTTTTTCTCTTTTGGTATGGCACTACCTGAGATTCAATGTTAAACAAAGTTAATTCCTTTGTCTGTAAGTTTAGACTTCTATTTAAGATATAGCAAATATACACTGTGAAGTATTTTGATAGGAATATCAAAGGTACTATAGCCAAATGGTTCATATACATCATGGCTGTCAACGGCTAAAAACAAGGTCCACAGAGGGGTTCTGACTGACCTGTGTGAGAGTACTGGAGGAGTCCTATCCAGTCCAAGCCCACAGATAAGCATTAGGCCCATGGAGGGTTACAAGAGGCACTGTGGCAAACGTTCGAAATACAGGTAAGCGGAAGGGCAAGATTCAGTAAGGAATCATTGCTCCATTCACTGGATGTTTTCTCTTCCGTATGTTCTGCTGATAGGTTGATTTGTGTGAGAGAGAAACAGTCAGTGATTGGAGTAACGACAAACAACGTGAAGATGAAATCTATGTTTCAACATTGTGCCAAACCTTATATTTCCAAAATATGCTCATCCATCCCCTGAAGGAGGCAAAATTGAAAATGCAAACCTCACAAGGGTGAACACCTCTGAGGGAGACCATGTTAAAAACACTACAGGAGCATTCAGCAGTAGTAATTTTTCAGATAAATACTTGATGGGGCCAAACAGTGCACAGCAATGAGGAACATGCAAGACAGTGGGACTAGTTGGAAAGACTCCTGTCAGATTTCATCAGTTCAAAAATACATATGCTGACATCATGCAGTAACATATAGAATCACATTTCATCTTTTAAAAAAATGTTTTGACTTGTCAACACACCAGATGTTCAAAAACCTATTCTAAGGTTGCTTCCTGAGCTCACCAAACATTCTTAACTTGTATAAATTGGAAGGAGGGTTATCATGGAAACTGGACAGATTTCAGTTACAATTCCCTTCCATGGCTCAGCATGATGAGATGCTGACAGATATTAGCAATGGTTTGCAGGGATTGACACTACAGTGATCATAATTTCATTGGTTTTAAGATAATTATAGGTAAAGATAAGACTGGTCCTCAGGTGTAAGTGCTAAATTGGGAAAGGCTAATAATAACAATGAGGCAGGATTAGGAAAATTTACATTGGGGATAACTGTTTGAGGGTAAATCCACATAGATCATAGAATCCCTACAGTGCGGAAACAGGCCCTTCGGCCCAACAAGTCCGCACCGACCCTCAAAACATCCCTAGACCTATCCCTCTTTAACCCCTCCACCCCCTCCCCCAACTAATCTAGGCATCCCTGAACACTACGGGCAATTTAGCATGGCCAATCCACCTAACCTGCGCATTTTTGGACTGTGGGAGGAATCCGGAGCACCCAGAGGAAACCCACGCAGACACGGGGAGAATGCGCAAACTCCACATAGGCAATCGCCCGAAGGTTGAATCAAACCTGGGTCCCTGGTGCTGTGAGGCAGCAATGCTAACCACTGAGCCACCGTGCTGCGCTATCTGACATGTAGGACTCTTAAAGACCAGTTGGTCAGAGTTCAGAACCAGCATATGCCCATGAGGATATAGATGAGGATGGCAAGATGTGGGAACCCTAGAGGACAAGAGATATTGTAAGTTTAGTCAAGAAGGAAAAAGAAGCATATGTAAGCTTTAGGAAACTGATATCAGACAAGGCCCTGAAGGATGTAAAGAAAGCAGGAAATAAACTAATTCCTGAAACAAGGAATTAGGAAGGATAATACAGGCCATGAAACATTCTTGGCAAGTAGAATTAAGGAGAATCTCCAGGCATTTTATAATGTATATTAGGAGCAATGGGAGTAACTAGGGAAAGGGTAGGTCCACTCAAGAACAAAGGAGGGAAATTATGCACGGAGCCAGAGGAAGTGGGTGTGATCCTTAATGAGTACTTTGCATTGTTATTCACAAAGGAGAAGGGCATGGCTGATGGTAAGATTAGGGATGGGTACATTGATATTCTAGGCCATTTCGTCATTAAGAAGGTAGCAGTGCTTCGGCCTCCTGAAAAACATTAAAGTAGGCAAGTCCCCAGGGCCTGATGGGATCTATTGCAAGATACTGAAGGAGGTAAGGGAGGAGATTGCTGGGGCCTTGACAGTGATAGTTGTATCCTGTTTAACTACATGGGAGGTTCCAGAAGACTGGAGAACAGAGAATGGTGTTCATTTGTTTAAGAAGGGCAATAGGGATAAACCAGGAAATTATAGGCCAGTGAGCCTCCCATCAGTGGTAGGGAAATTACTGAATAAGATTCTTAGGGACAGGATATACTTGCATTTGGAAACAAATAGACATATTAGGAATAGTCAACATGCTTTGTGCAGAGGAGGTCTTATGTCACAAAACTGATAGAGCTTTTTTGAGGAAGTGCTGAAGATGATTGATCAGGGTAGGCCTGTGGATACAGTTTACACGGACTTTATTAAAACATTTAACAAGGTCCCTCATGGTATGCAGAAGATTGAGTCACGTGATCTCTGGTGAGTTGGTAAACTGGATACAAAATTGTCTTGGTCATAGAAGACAGAGGGTAGTTGTGGAGAGGTAGTTTTCAAACTGGGTGTTTGTGACTAGGGGCGTTCTGCAAGGATGAGTGCTGGGATCTCTGTTGCAGGCGCTCTGGTAAATTTGCAGATGACATGAGCTTGGCGGAGTTGCCAATAGTGCGGAAGGTTATCAAAGAACAAAGAACAAAGAACAATACAGCACAGGAATAGGCCCTTCCATATTTGAAGTGTCTTCATTTACAGGATCCGTATCCCTCTAATCCCTCCATTCCCTTCCTATTCAAGTATATGTCCAGTTGCTTCTTGAAAGCTACTATTCTGTCTGCTTCCAACTCCTCTGGCAATGCGTTCCAGGCACTCACCACCCTCTGTGTGAAAAACTTGCCCCTTCACACCTCGAATCTGTGTACCCTAGTAACTGACCCTTCCACCTTGTGAAAAAGCCTCATACTTTCCACTCTATGCCATTCACAATCTTTTAAACTTCTAGCAGATTGCCCCTCAACCTCCTACATTCCAGTGAAAACAAGCCCAGTTTATCCAACTTTTCTTCATAGCTAAAATCCTCCATATCAGGCAACATCATGGTAAACCTTTTCTGTAACCTCTCCAAAGCATCCACATCCTTCTGGTAGTGTGGTGACCAGAACTACGCGATATTCCAAGTGTAATCTAATTAAAGGTTTACAAAGCTGGAGCATAACTTCTCGACCCTTGTACTCAATGCCCATTCCAATGAAGGCAAGCATGCCATAGACCTGTTTTACTACCTTATCTACCTGCTCTGCCATCTTCAGTGATCTGTGGACATGCACACCTAGATCTCTCTGCGTATCAGTACTCCTAAGGGTTCTGCCATTCACTCTATAATTTCTTAATTTGACCTTCCAAAATGCATCATCTCACATTTGTCTGGATTAAACTCCATCTGCCATTTCTCTACCCATGCCTGTAACTGATCCATATCCTGCTGTATCCTCTGACAATCCTCCTCATTATCTGCAACTCCACCAATCAAACTTTGTATCATCTGCAAACTTACAACCAGCTATGTTTTCCTTCAAATCATTTATGCAGATCATGAACAGCACAGGTCTCAGCACGGATCCTTGTGGAACACCACTAGTCACAACTCCCCATTCCAAAAAGCATCCTTCCACCACTACTCTCCTATGTCTCCTGTGACTCAGCCAGTTCTGTATCCATTTTGCCAGCTTACCCCTGATACCATGTGACTTCACCTTTTGCACCAGTCTGCCATGAGGGACCTTGACAAAGGCCTTACTGAAGTCTATGTAGTCAACGTCAACCGCTGAGGTTGGTTGGCTCGCCGAGCTGGTTTGCTGTTCCGCAGACGTTTCGTTACCGTGCTTGGTAACATCCTCAGTGCAGCATCTGATGAAACGTCGGTATGTTTTCCCGCCTGGCTTTTAAACTCTGGGGTCCATTGCAATGGATTGCCTCACTTCTGGGCTTCCTCCATAGTGGAATGTATATGGGGTCAAAAAGCCACACACACAGTCCAGGTATTGAAGTTCAATACTAACCATCCCAGCACACACAAACGAAGCTGCGTGTGAACACTATTTAAAAGGGCAACAACAAACTGCAGCAACATGGAACTACGCCAAGAAGAGGAGGAATACCTCTTCCAAGTGTTCAAGGATAATGGATATCCAAAGAACCGAGTCAGGAGATGCCTACAGGAACAGCATCAGAAGGATTCTACACACCCCGATACACTCATCACACTACCCTACGTCATGAACACGTCAGAACTCACCACAAGACTTCTACGACCGCTGGGCATCAGAGTGGCACACAAACCCACATCAACCCTACGACAAGTGCTCACCCAAGCTAAAGGCCCACTCCCCGCCATGGACAGGACCAATGTCATCTACAAGATCCCCTGCAGAGACTGCGAGAAAAACTACAATGGACAAACAGGAAGGAAACTAACAACAGTACATGAACACCAACTGGCTACAAAAAGACACGACCAATACTCACTCATCTCAATCCACATGGATGAGGAGAACCACAACTTCGACTAGGACAACACCAAGATCCTGGGGAAGGCTAGGCAGAGACAAGCACGAGAATTCCTGGAAGCATGGCACTCCACAAAGCAGGCCATTAATAAACAAATTGAACTCGACCCCATATACATTCCACTACGGAGGAAACCTGGAAGTGAGGCAATCCATCGCAATGGACCCCAGAGTTTAAAAGCCAGGCGGGAAAACACACCGACGCTTCATCAGAGACTGCACTGAGGATGTTACCAAGCACGGTAACAAAACGTCTGCGGAAAAACAAACCAGCTCGGCGAGCCAAACAACCTCAACACCCACAACCCGAGCTACAAATCTACTCCAAAACCTTAGCAACATCAACTGCTTTTCCCTCATCAATTATCTTTGTCACCTCCTCAGGAAACTTGATCAAGTTAGTGAGGCATGACCTCCTGAGCACAAAACCATGCTGTTTATTGCTAACCAGTCCATTTGCTTCTAAA